GTTTTTAAGAGACTCAATCAAAACCAAACCGAAATATATTCGGTTAATATCGAAACTGAAAAAATTAAACCAAAAACCATTGAAACTGAACCGAATTCATTTTTTCGGTTTGGTTTTTGGATAAACAATCGGTTCGGTTAAAAAATACCCAACCCTAGATATTACCAACTATCATTGCAGTTTAATGGGAACAATTTCTTTAAAAAAAAGTTATAATATTTAAATTTTTAAAGTTTAAATTTTGATAATTTTTATTTTCAATTCCTTTAATTGTTCTAATTTAAAATAATAAAAAAGTCAAAAACCATCCCGTTGCGGTCTCATAGGTTGCATGTTCCCATCCCAACCGCAGCAGTGACCACAAGGGTAACATCACCTTAGACCATATATACTTTTATGATTTAAATTCTTGTGGTATAATCTTTCTTACTCCCATTTCTCAATGTTTAAAAAAAAAAAACAAATTGCATGCTCCCATCTTAAAGAGATAGAGATAGATTCAAATCCCCACTTCCAAATATATATTATAAAGACGGAAAAACATCTGCACTTTCATGCGTTCTTTTCCTCATCCAAGACAGTTGTAGCGACTTTGTGATTACTTTTTCCCTGTTCCAAAACAACCGCAAACAATCAGGTTATCCTGCATTGTTGTGAAACTAATCTAGAATAACAGATCAATAACAAGAAAAACAAATACTTTAGGTGTTTTTTCAACAGCACAGAATGCCAAATAAAATTCTAAAATTACTTCCCATAACATCATACATCTAAAACACCAATGAGAAACATCTTTATTTGGCAAATTAATGATGCTATTACTTGGGAATGATTAAGGGAATGCAATCTAGAAAAGAGAATCTGGTTTTACAAAAGTACCTTTCTGAATTTCGAAAAACATCGTGTCTGCAATGAGAGAGTCCTGAAGCAAGAACTGCAACACTTTCGACCATTCCATCATCTTGCTTTTGTTTTCTTGGCCCAGTACTTTGAAGGACTCGATATTTCGAAAGGGAGAAGACTGATGTTCAAGCACACTGTAATTCTTTGAAAGAAACTTCAAACATGGAAAACATAATTTTAGTAAAAAAAAAAATACCAAATCTCATCTTCTTACATTACTAATTAAGATCTACAGACACACCTCTAGGATGTTTCCTGATATAGCGAGTGATTTTGCATTGCCAAGCTCCCGTAGAACATCAATAAGATGCAAAACATATCTTCCATTGTTAAAGTAATGACTTAAGACACCTGATGCTTTCACTTCCACATAATAAAGAAGGGGAGAGTTATATATAGAAAAATAATATAGTTTGTGATCAACTGATAAGATGAAAGAGGTCAATTTCGTTGCCCTAACCACAACCTTTTTTTCACTCGGATGCTTGCCGGTGCCATTGGTAGTTTCAAATTCAGGACTACATATGGTCAAATTGACCAATTCAGGAGCTGATATGTTGAATACACTGGATATCCTAATGGTAACCTTGTGTAAAACAAGGTTTTGCAATTTCCCACATTTTGAAAAGAGATCATTACAATGATTTTTACTAGATAGCGTCACTCTGGTTAGAGTTAAAGTTTCTAGTGATGCCAATTCCAAAGAGTCTGGGAAGTTGCCAAAGTCAAATAAATTTTCAAGTCTGACAACTCTCAAAGATTGACACCTGAAAATACTGTATGCCAGGTCTAACTTTTTCAAAGTATGCCAATTCCGATCCAAATGAGCAAAAGTCAAAATAAGCTCTTGAAGACGGCGTGAAACAGTTAAATCAGTGACTCTATCAAGCGTGTACTTATCTTCCTCGTTAAGATAATTGTGACTGTGATGGCAGAATGCAAGAAGATTAGACATCTTGCAACGCTGCAGAACATGGTACATAAAACTTCTGAAGTCTTCCAATCTAGAGAACGACTTGCTGTGGAAATGGACACTGGATATATGTATCCAAAGATATTTCCATCTTTTGGACAGAACACAGGTTTGCACTGCATATTTGGTGTCCATTAAGGATAGAATGTGTAGGATCAAACCATCCGGTAAATCGCTCAGCCTGTCTATTTGGGTTTCCTCCACCATTGTGATCTTCTTGTTCTTCACTTTCTTACCCTTCATGACAAATTATTCTTTTGATGCGAAAAAAAAAAAAAAAAAGAAAAAAGAAAAAAAAAAAAAGCCCGTTTAGCAAACTTCCTCAGGAAATAATGAATAGAAACTTTTGTTGCAAAGTAAAAAAACCAAAGACGAAAGTCTAATCTTGTCATCGGCAGAAGAGAAAAATATTTATTTCTTGTGCCAATACACTCACAAACAAACTCTTAAACAAATCCACAAAATTCAAGCAAAGCGAATAAAAGTAATCGACTGAAAGCAGCACACGAACACAAGTAAACAAAACATCTAAAATCCTCATCACAAACTAACGGTAAGTTGCAGCAAAATCCCAAGGCAAGTACACGCAATCTATTTCACAACAAAGCAAGGAATTCTTCACTACCCCATCTAAAACAAAACATGACCCCAAACATCTGTAGTAACCGAGACTTTGAATTACCAAACTTCATCAAACTCCCAAAAACTTCTAACAAAAATTAAAGACCCTAATATAAGGAGACCCACCGCATAGAGCACTCAATCCATTAGAAGTCTAATTAGAACGTAAATTGAAACTGACCTCTATGAAGGAAGAAAACCAAATTGATTTCGCCGCTTTGGGGGCACTACTCTTTTATTTGTAGCTAATGAGTTTCAAATTGATTTCCGTTCTTCGGCTTCAAATTACTTCTGTAAATCAAGAGGCAAGCAGCTAGGGTTGTGAGTATTTTAAATAGTCCACGGAAACATTATATAGGATTAAAAAAAAAAACTAAGTTAACTTCTTTACCTTTTTACCCCTCTTCTAGGTTTTGGAAAAATTTTGGATCTCTAGTTACAAACAATATGTTCTCATTAAGCTTATCAACAAGAACCTAACCTGATTGGCACTCACTAATTAAAAAATTTTATTTTAATTTATGGTTAAAGTTAAAATTTTAAATTTCTGTGCTGCCAAACAACTAATTTTTCAATGTACCAAAATAAAAAGTACTCATCAAGCTTAATTCCATACAAATAACTAGATGAAAATCTAAATTCCACATTTTTACCATTTTGTTGTTAATGGGTGAACATGATTTATGAATGAAAATTGGTTGGTACATACTTTACTTCAACAAATTACATAACATATTTATTAAAAAATTACTATTTTTTTATCTGAAATTAAAATCAAATAAATTTAAAGATGTAGTTATATATACAAAAAATAGAAAATAGTTGAATCAATTGTAATTATATTATATTTTAATAATTAAATCGAGATAAATATAAAAAAAATGTATTGAAATAAATATATACTAATCATTTTCCTTTGTAAATTAAGAGAATACAAATGGTACTAGCCCAGATTGTTATGCCTCATTTCATACTTTATGCCTTATGGCAAGTGTTTAATGCTCTTTTTTTTATTTTTTATGTATTAAATGGTATTCATTCAAGATAGTCATGCAGGTCACTTATAGAGGCTACAAAGTTTCCAAGCTTGTTATATATCAAAAATCGGAGTGCTTGTCTAATACTCCGATATTTTTCAAGATTTTTTGGATTAATGTAATTAAATGGGTAAAAATCCAGCTAAATGTTGGTATAAATTACAGAGATTTGTGAACATATTTAAATTCAAATTAAAATACAAAATTAAATCAGAATTTATGCAGGGAATTAAATAGGTTTAAATAGCAATTATTGCCTTTGATTATTTCCCTTTTTACTAGCATGATTTTGGGTAAACCTTTCTATACTACTTTTTAAGACAACTTTTTTATACCATCTTTTAGAATAATCTTTTTATACTACCTTTTAGGATAACCTTTTTATAACACCTTTTAGAACAACACTTTTGTACTACCTTTTGGGAATGATTGGTTCTTTTTATTCATGTGAAACTTGTGATATTAAATGCATTTACTCATTTAATAACATATGGAAGTTGTATCAAAAGATAGTATAAAAAAGTTATCGCTATAACACCGTCCTTTTATTAATGAGCAACGTGTTGACTCAATGTACTCCAAGACGGGGGGCGAATTGGAGTTCCAAAAATTCTCTCCTTTTTGCAACCACAAAACCAAAAATAAAGAGAGTAAAGAAGAAGTGCTTACTCAATGATTTTATAGAGGTTCAGTCCAACCACTTGGAGCCTAATCCTCTACCTTGACTTCACTCACCTAGGATTTCCTCTACACTCTCCACTAACAACAATAACGGTGGCTTAAAGGAGCCACTCAATTCTTTTACAAGAAGATGAGTATTTCTCTCAAACCTGACCCCTTTACATATAAACCCCAAGAATCCTCTCTATGGATCACTCTTGAAGGATTAATCACACCCCCAAGATCACTCACAAATAGAACAAGAAAAGGATTACAAGTAAAGATCTCTCAAAGATCAAAAACTCAAGTTAAAACTCATGTAGATAGGTAAAGATATTCAATGCAATGCTTTCTAAACTTTCTTTAGATCTTTTACCAACCATATTTATAACCCCATGGTTGAAAATAGTCGTTACTAGCCGTTACTAGCCGTTGGGGGTCATTTAATGCTCTATTGGATGCATGGTTTGAGTTGCAGAACTGTCAGTACAGCCAGCTTAAGCTTCTAGAGCCAGCTCTGTACAGTCAGCTTACCATTTCTACAACCAACTTTGCGGCATCCTGCACATTCTGTTTTCTCCATAGAGCCGGCTGCAAAACGCAAAGCCAGCTTTGCGAGTTTACTACACATTCTATTTTCTTGGACAGCTGACTACAAAAACATAAAGTTGGCTTTGGGATTCCAACTTTAAACACATTAAATAATCTTCAAATAACTCAACCATTGTACATTAAATGCACCCTCACAGCCGGCTGCAAAGTTAGAGCCGGCTTTGCGTCTTTTCTCCGCACACGCCAAACAACAGTCTTCAAATTTTTGCCCGTAAAGCCTGCTGCAGGTTCCAGAGCCGACTCTTTGCAAATATTCAAGCCTTTCTAGTCCATTTTTAAGTGCAGTCCAAGTTTACTTATTTTGCAATCTTTTGACATTTTAACTACACACTTAAATGAACCAATTAGTCACTCAAATGTGTTTTGTAATCATCAAAATCATAGGTACGACACAACGGACTCCACATCTGCCACTCAACCCTAATCTTTTCCTAAAATTTATATCTCTCACACACACAATAGCACTAAAGGAAACAGATTTTTTGTGACAGTAAAATTAATCATAAAAATTTATATTTTTTTTTTCACAAATTGCATATGTATCTAAAATTTGGTTGGTTGCTATCCATTAAATACTAAGTTACTAAAACTAATAATAAGTAATTTTGTAGTCATGATAAAAAATTATGATTTTAGTAACAAAAAAATTATAGACACAATTATTAGTTTATTTGTAACAATTATGTGCGTCACAATTAAAATTATTTATGACAAAATAATTAGACACAAATAGTGTTTCTTTTGTAACATCTATACTCCGTCACCAAAAACAAAAAAAAAATCTTTTAATGTGACAAAAAAATTGTCACAAATTTATTTGTGATAGAAATTTTAAGTTACTAATAATTTTATATTGATTTAAGAAAATTCCCTTAAAATAAAATTTTAAAAATTTTCAATATAATTTTTAATAATACTTACTACTATAATAATAAAATGTTCAAAGGCCAATAATAAAATTATTTAGCACAAGCCCAAGGCTAGGACTTTAAATTTTTTCAAACATATTTAAAAAAAAAATTATATAAACTATTTGTAGGCTATACTTTTATTTTTAAGTGATGTGAAATTTAGGTATTTTCTTATATAGAGTATAGATAAGCTTTCTTTTTATTTTCAGGTCATGTGGGATTTTTTTATTCTACAATTTTACTCATATACTAATAGAATAATAAAATATCTACCAAAAAAAAAAAAGAACTCATTCAAGATAAAATAAAAAAATAATATATTATAAATTTGTTTTGAAGTTATGGTTATCAATTTATTTTGAACAATACAAGTTAATTTTTATTAATATTTGAAGTACAAGAGATACTTCTAAATTTTGACAATCATATCAATTCCAAATATATATGTATAACATACAATTATTCCTAATTAACCATAATAACCATACATAAGCAAACCATTCCACTTCTCAGTTTCCACCCTTCTCTCACTCTATTATTTGAGGTTAACCCCAAGTGTTGGCAAAAACTTCCCAACTGCTACCGAACATAAACCTCAGCACTTCAAACACTTTCTCCATGAGGCATAGGTGACTTGACAATGGAAACAAATGATGGACATTTTCAATTCAGTCATCACACATTTCACATTTTCTCAAGTTGTAATTCTGCAAAACCCACTTCTTGAATTAGTTGTGGTCATTAATTGTGGTCATTAATTAAATGCAATTTCACTCATGAAGTTGTCGGCACATTTTGTCAAGTTGTAATTCTGCAAAACCCACTTCTTGAATTAGTTGTGGTCATTAATTGTGGTCATTAATTAAATGCAATTTCACTCATGAAGTTGTCGGTGCAAGTATGCTGTGAAAGTATAGTGTCCCTATATATGATTATGTGCATGTAAGATAATCCTTATGAAAGTATGTAGTATTCTTTTGTCTCTATCTATATGCTTCAGTGAGGTAACCTTTTGTAGAGTTAGTAATAGTACAAGGATCCAATATTATTGTAATTCTATTTGTAAAGTTAGGAGTATCCTTTATTATTCTCCAATAATAAAATTTGCTATTCAAAAAAATTAATAAAAAAAATCCATAGGAATGTGCCTTTCTTTCGATTTGGTGTAAAAAATAATAAATGTTTCATGAATAAATAATAAATAAGATATTTAATAAAATTAGGGGCGCTTTAATTCATCGTGGTTTTTATGGTATTTGAGAAATAAAAAAGTTACATGAGAATAAAAATGTAGGTGGTGCACAATTTTTTGAATTAGTTTAGTTGAAAATTTATATTTTAATAAAATTCTTCTTCACTAATATGTGATTGCTATTAGTGTCACAATTTTTTTTTATTTCTCAAGTTCAATTATAGCTTAATTGTGACAAAAAAATTCATTATTTATTGTAGTTTTCTTTTGTGACAAATTGTTTATATTAACACAAAATATAATTTTTACAGATGAAAAAGTTTAGTCACAAATAAAATTTGGTATGTGTGACAAAAATTAATTGTTTGTAACTAATATTATATTAGTAACTAATAGTTAACTTACAGTGATGATTTTGATTGTAACAAATTTATGTTATTTACTATGATGAATCTTTTGTGAATGAATGTAAGTTTTATATCGAAATTATATATTTAAATTTCAAAAATAAAAATTAGAGACCAATATCTTGAATTAGTTACAAATATAAAGGATAGTAGTGGCAAACTAGAAATCATTCACTA